GGGGGGGGGGGGGGGGGGGGGGGGGGGGGGGGGGGGGGAACTATTGTGAGACCGGAAAAAAGGAGAAGCTTGCCTCAACATAAACCCAATGTTGTCGCCGTTGGTCGCCGCAAAGCAAAAAAAAACGGCCGCGATCCTCGCGAAACCAAAAAAAAAAGGTTCTGTAACGGTTCGAAGCCAATCGAGATCTGTAACGCTGCTCTGGCACGTAAATCATTCTTTACGCCCCTCGAGTAAGTGAAAAGCGACTGAAAGACTCATGGGGTGCATGGGTGGCATCTCGAGCGCCATGCTGCGGCGTCCTACGTAACTTAACCCCAAGCAAAACCTTCCAAGGCCCAAAGTAGCAACCTCTCTCCAAGGTTACTTCTCTCGGTTCGGTCCCTTGTTCCACCGACCCATTCCTCGAAGAAAAGCTTTGTTTTCGCCGAGCTATACGGTGCATCCCCTCCCTGACCGAGTAGACAAACTTCACACACCTTGCACGAGCCCAAACGGAACGTGCTGCAGCTGCACCCCCTCCGGCGCGAATCCCGCACGCCTCGCTACCTGGAAAACCTACAGAGTATATAAAAAAGCAAGACAAGAACAACAACGCAAGCGCACGGGGGGAGAACAAGAAAGAACAACGAGGGGGAAACGAAACGGGAGAAGGAAGCAGGTATGTACGGAATGTCCCACAAAGGACGATAAGACGTCACAGCAAAACGTGTGAAAACACCCAGAAAAAGAAAATGAGCACGTGGGCACAACGAGGTGCTGCAAGGCCGCGCACGCAGGTGGCCGAAGATACGCTTTCGAACAAAGCAGGATAGATCACTACACCCACCTGAAACACTTGAAAAGCAAAAAAATAAAATAAAGTTACACAACAATCTATTGTCAAGAAAACGAACGCAACAGCGAACCGAGCAAAAGATAGAATACACGGACGACAGACAGAAAACTGCGGACACACAAATAAGCGAACGAACACAAACAAGAATGACGCATATAAAAAAGTAGCCGACATGAACAGGTCGTATAAACGCACCTGAGCGAAGTGGCTTCCCTGGCCCACATCCACCACGTAGAGTACTCGGTCAGCCCGCTCGGTCGTGACGCGATGTCGGATAGCCGCCAAGTCTGTTGTAGAGTACCTGCCGCACATGCACGGATGCCCACCACCAGATCGAACGTCGGAAGCAAGTTCTAAAACCTTCAGTTCGTTCAGATCGAACATCAGTCGGATCGAAACGTCGTTGTAAAAACAAACGTCCCGGGAAATGGAGAGTGTTCCCGCATGTTGGCGTTGAAACCGTAAGTGTTCCGCACGGTGGTACGGTATTGGCCGTGCCTATGTCTGCACGTCGCGTACATATCGAAAACAAAAAAACGAGTCTTGTTGTGTCTCACATGAAGCCTCCGTCGCTCTTCTTGACGAGAAGGGGCTGCGAGGTACCATCCCGGGACTCGAAGCCTTCCAGGTAAACTACCTTGGCTCCATCGCTCTCCTCCAGAAGGCCCTCGCTCTGACCAACGGACGGACACGACACTTACTGTTGTCGTGGCTCTGTGATGATTGCTGTTGTTTTTGCCAGCATGTCAACCAACAAGCAAGGCACCCGAAGGGTACGCCCATACCATGGAACGGTCCGTTCTCCGTGCACACCATTCCATAATTCCATAACAACCCTCTCCTTGGTGTATACCATTAGCCAAGGTCCTTGTACGAAGGGTGAACGATATCGACACAACTGTATGCTACAGAAACCTCTTACGCGTGCGTCGGTTCATTTTTTTGTTTCCTGTTGACACTAGCGTCGGGTCGTTTGTGGGCATCGTTGACTGCAGCAGCAGCAGCAGCAACAGCAGCAGCAACAGCAACAGCAACAGCAACAGCAGCAGCAACAACAACTCGAACACATCGTTCCAGATTACCGTACTTTCCTTGGGAATGGCTTGTCTCCGCACCTCTGTTTCAGCCTCAACTTTGGCAAAAAGCTGAGTCAATATTCTCAAGTTCATGACTATGTAGATAGCGCGCAAAAGAACGGAACAACAATGATGGCGACGACGACGATAGCGTCGGCGGCGGCTACCATTACAACAACAACAACAACAACAACAACAACAACAACAACAACAACAACAACAACAGCAACACCCACCACACAACTACAATGAATCTAACAGTATTCTATATGCACAGGTTTATCCACGTAAGTAAACACACTGGGTAAAGCATACATCGGCTAAGGTGGGGCTGCGATTAGGTTTAGGGTCTGCGTGCCCCTTTCCTGGTATTTCTTCGTAATAAACTCGACGTCAACAACGGCAGCAAACAAGCGCCAGCACCACAACCCTCACCTCCAAGTCGCTAACCACGTCCGGCAACATCGCGTTGTAGAACGACTCCCCCCGCTCCTCCAGCTCCACCCCAAGCAGAGAGTATATGTCCTGAAAGCCTCTGCGGGACGCCTCGCAAAGGACCCCCCACGCGCGCTTGCTCTCTGCGTCCCCCGCCTGGAGCTTGACCACCTGAATGAGGGGTTGATTCGGGCGGGGTAGAAAGGACGGATGGCAATTACAGAGAGCGAAATAGGGAAAAAGGGGGAACGTAACCTTGAGCAAGATAGAGGGGGGGG